CACCGAATCAATAATATGAACCACCGACTTGCTCTTTAATGCGTAACCAGACGCATCACATCCTAACGTGATACTTCTACCACCTCTCACTGGACTTTCCTTAGTTCTAAACATGGAGCATCAGTTCCTATCTCAGAGCAACAGTATCACATCCTAACGTGGTGCGTCGGCCACAGTATCACATCCTAACGGTACGGAGCCGTGCTGACGTTATCAGGGAGCGGATGGGGAGCGGGGGAGACGCATGGCGCTGCGCCCGTTTTGTTTTCGTTCTCCGCCGCGGAGTGTGGGGACACTCTTTTTCTCTCTGTCTCTCTCTTTTTTTGGTCTCTCTGTCTCTGTGTGTCTCTGCCTCTCTCCGTCTCTCTCGCTCTCTTTCAGACGAAGGGCCGCCGCGGGGTCGTTTTCGACCCATTGCCCCCAGACTTGGACCTGATGGACTGCGCATCGACTTCCGCCGCCCGGGGATCACGACGGATATTAGCGACATCACAAGGGACCGAGCGCGAAGGAGGGCAAAAGAGGGAGAGAGCGAAGCGGAGAAGGAGAGTGACAGGGAGCGAGAGAGAGAAAGAGAGGGGGTAGAAAGAAGAGGATACTACGGGACCAAAAAGAGAGGTTTGGACTCCCGATCTCGCCCACTGCTGCGAAAGTTTTCGCGACCTTTTCGAATACCTTTTCACACTGCATCTGCACGGGGGTTTATTGTTGAAGTGCAAATAGGAGTCGGAGAAGGAGTAGGGGCCTATTAGGCGTGGAGAGTAGACGGGTAGAAGGGGAGGTGAAACGATGGAGAGAGAGAGAGAAAGGAGGGGAGACGGAGGGGTGGCAACCTGCGCGTCGAGCAAGCCTCATTGTCTTTGTGTCCTGCTTGCGGGGGCCTCCGACTGAGCCCTCCTCTCCTCCCCTCCCCAACGGGGCCAACTTGCACTAAACTTGGAAATGTCGCTCAAAGGATGCTGCCGAGCGGAGGATCGATTTCAGCAGCACCGGAAGAGGCTGGCCGGGGCAGGACGGGCGGCCTCCTCTGTCTGCGGGGGACGCGAGGCGAGCGCCTGCGAGGTGGGCCGCCCCGCCGCGCGCGGCTGTCCGGCGGCACGGCCCGCCCGGCAGAGGGCGGGGGCCCGGCGGGCCAGCCGGCGGGCCGGGGGCGCTGCGCTGGGAACAGTGACAGGCCGAGTCCCGCGGGCACCGGCACTCATCACACATGCCGTTCCACTCGCTCGCCCGCCCCGCCACCCCCTAGCCTCTCTCTCTCGCACCCTGCCCCCCCCCCCCTTACACAATGCAGCGCCGGTGTAGTGGAGAGGTAACAACTTTGGAAGTGAGTTTCGATGTACTTGGCAAGTCCTTGGGCGGCGCGGCGCGGCGCGGGTGCGGGTGACGGCGGGGGTGGTTGTGTGGGGATGGGAGAAGCCGCCGAAGAGGGGTGACCGCGTGTGGACACCTGGCCCCGATGGCCCCCGTGGGGCGCCCCAGCGCCCCCCAAGGGGTCCGAGAGCTGTCGCGGCTGCGCCCGGAGGGCAGTGGCAGCGGCAAAGCATGGCAAAGCCCCCCGCACCGCTCCCACGGTGGGGTGTTTGGGGCTGAAAGGGTCCTGAGTTCGACACCGACGCTTCCCAGAGGCGCTACTCACTCACCCCGCCGCGACCGGCCGCACCCCCGCAGAAAGGTACTGAACGTGTCTGTCTTGAAAGGACCATCGACACGGCTGG